CATAGGATGAAACTCCTTGAATTACATCTGACATAAATTTAGATTTCATACATTGTGAGAATTTTACACTACATTCTATAGTCCTTATGTTCTCTGGAATTGTATTCCAACATTTTGCACCTAAATATGTAAAGGTTTTGTGTGTTCTGGATTTGTGAATATAAAGGTTGCACCTCTCAGCATCACGTGATCCTCCGGATACATAAGAAAATTTATCTGTGAATGATGATGGTGCAGCCTCATTAAGAATTTTATACATATACGTTGACAGATGGAGTTGTCTTCTTAAGTGTAAGGGTAACCACTTCATATTTCGATATACATTTACTGATGGTTCCTGCCAATGAACATCCAGAGCAATTTTTGCTACTTTCTTGTATAATATATCAAGAGAATTAAGTTTGGTTTTGGCAGCCCTACACCATATTATATCCAGGTAGTCAAATTGGGGGAGCATAAGAGCATTTACAAACATTTTTCTATATTTCAGTGGAAGAAGATTTTTCGACCTGTATAATGCCCCTATTCTTTTAGCAATTTTTGATTTCACATAATCAATATGGTCATGAAAGTTCAATAAATTGTCTATCATGAGACCTAAATATTTTTGAGATTTAGTTTCTTCTATAAATAGGCATTCTTTTTCCAAATCCAGAGGGATTGACAACGTGTCCAGATTAAGTGATCTATCAAATACAATGAATGAAGATTTTGCAGCATTTAGTCTCAGCTTGTTGATTCTAAGCCATTCATACACAATTTTCATATCCTTAATTACATTCTCATATATGCCTCGGGAAATGTTATCAAAATATAGTGCACTGTCATCTGCAAATAAGTAAACAGTAGATTGTGTGCAATTTCTACTGAGATCATTTATGAATAAACTAAATAGAATTGGTCCTAATATGCTACCCTGTGGCACACCTGTTTTAACAGGGAGTGATGTGCTTACATTACCACGTATTTTGGTGTGTTGCTTTCTGTCCCCCAGGTAGCTTTTGAACCACTTTATGACAAAGCCATCAACTCCATAATACTTAAGTTTTTTTAATAAAATATTATGGCTTACTGTGTCAAAGGCCTTTTTGATATCTAAGAATACAATTGCAGGTTTCTTCTGTGATTCCTTAGACGTAAATATTTTATCAAACAGATTAAGCATTAAAAAAGTGGTGGAATGATCTTTTCTAAAACCATACTGATGGTTGGTAAGCAGTTTATTTGTTTCAACATACTCTGTAAGCTGTTGGTTAACAAAATATTCTATGCATTTTCCAAGTAGGGGGAGTATGGATATTGGCCGGTAGTTATTTGGATCATTAGGGTCACCAGTTTTAAGAATTGGAGTGACTGATGCAATTTTACATGCCAACGGCATTGTTCCACTTTTCATACTAAGGTTTATAATATGAGCTACTGGATCGATGATTTGGGGAATAATATACTTATATATTTTAATGGGCATGATATCGTTAATCGATTTATCTGATGGTATACTGAGTATATATTCTTTTACTTGTTCAACAGTCACCTCTTCGAATACAGAGAGTTTACACTCTGTTGGAGGCGGCATATATTCTAGGAAGTCGTCTGAATCCTTTTCCTTAATCGATTCTTGTATTATTGTACCAACTGTGGCAAAATGCAGGTTAACTCCGTTAACATTTAAGTTGCTTGGGGAAGAGCTACTTATTTTTCCAGGTAAGTTTGAAGCATGTTTGATAGTTTTCCAAATGCCTTTTAAATCGTTTTTTGCACTTTTCACAGTAAGGTCCTGAACAATATTTGTACGTCTGTTTTCTTTGGATAATTTTGTCACATAGTTTCTTTGGGGACGATAGTTATCCCACGAAGTAGAGCATTTCTTATGTAGTTCACTTTTTCTGCATTTACATATTCCATTAATACAATTACACTTGAATTTGTTTAATTGTCCTAAACACTTTTTATACTTTCTGAAGAGTATCTTCTTCTTCCGTATTTCTGCCAACAGTTCTTTAGAGGGATTACAGAGAAAGTTACTATTACATTTTATCTGTTTAGGTGGACAGTAATTATCATACGATTCCTGGATGTGATGATTAAGTCCATCTAGGGCATGGTCTACATTAGTACAGCTTAGAATATTACTGTAGTTGCTGGAGGATCCCAGAAAATAGCTTAAGGCTTTCAGATTGTTTAAGGAGTGGTCTCTGATAAGAACCTTCTGGAATTTACTAGCTTTACTTACTTTAAAGTCGAGAACACATTTGAGAGCTTGGTGATCTCCTATTCTATCATCAAGTACTTTACACTCTATGAAATTAGAGTAACAGTTAGTCATGACAACATCTATTGTGCTCTGCGTTATCCTACCATCTAAGTTTGCAACTCTAGTAATTCCTGTAACAGTCTGTATCATTCCAAAGAGCTTCATTGTTATATCTAACTTTTTATAATCTAGATCAGATAAAGAGTTTTGGTTAACATTAACATCGCCAATCCATATTACTTTCTTACCTTGAAGTTTCATCATACATTCAGTCATATAATCAAGGAAAGTATCTAGGTGACAAAAGTTTTGTGATCTGTAGAAGCAGCAAATGTAAAGATTGGCATCCTTGAGTTGTATCCATATAGCTTCGATTTTAGAAATATCAGAGTAAGTTATATCTAAATTGAGTAATTTGTGGTTTACATTTTGGTTGATCAATATACCACACCCTCCTCTTCCTCTATCGTTAGGTCTATCACACCTTATAAAATCAAAGTTTAAGGGGAAGTTAAGTGTACTAGTGTCTATATCAGATTTAAGGTTTGTCTCATTAATTCCAATTATGTCAAGCTTTTCGCGAAATATTAGCTCCTGTAGTTCAAGAGTTTTTGCCAGATTAGTCAGGCCACCCTGTATATTACATAGACCAAGAGAGAGATTATCGTTTATTGAGGTACGAATGTGGTAATAATAAAGTTAAAAGGAGGACAAATCTATACGTTTCTTCTTCAAGCAATTTAAATAAAATTCATGACATTTAGTTTTATGTCATGCTGATTTATTTGTGACTTAATAATTTAAAATGTGATTCTTTGATAAAAGTATCAAATACTCATTTAACTACAGAACTTTCTACAATCTGAATGGAGAGACTAAGTTTGCTCATTGTGGGATAAATATTTTAAATGTTTCGCCAACCTGGCGATTCCCTTGATATTAAGGTGAACATTATCTATTCCCTTTTTGAAAAATACCTGTTTCCTTACTCCAGTAACTCGGCTGGTAAATAGTCTATTATTACGTTCTAAATCTATATAATTTAACCCATGGCTAGAGCAGGTGTTAGAAATAAACCTATTTAATTCGTTGATAACTTCATTTTTGTTATAACTGTTCCTAGGTAAAATATTTATAACTGAAATTCTTGCTCCAATAAACATTCCCCAAAGTATACTAAGTATTTGATCAATTCCTTCTGTTGCATTTTTCATAGAAATATAATTGTTACAGACAGAATCTACGTAGTTTGTACCTGTTAGTATGAAAACACGCTTTACATCCTTTTTGTCCAGTTTTTTGAACTCCTCATCATGTAACAGCCTATTTAGCATTTGAGCAGAGTTCGCTCCAGGGTAGAAGAACACCTTAGCTTTCTGCTTCCTTGAACTTAGTAGAGTTCCGTTGAGGTCCCTGAACATACTGCTGCTGATGTAGATGGTATCAATTGGCAGGTCACTTGGGATCTGTTCAGGTGAAGGAGGCGCTGCAGTTGACTTGGCTGAACTCTTAACTCTGGAATGGTGGACTTCAAATTCACTTTCGTTGTAGGGTACATATCCACTAGCTGAAGAAGGTGATTTTCTTGGTTGACTGCAGACAACTGGTTTGATAAGTCTAAAAGTTAAACTGATCCTTTTGTCTGTGCATAGTGGATCGGGACATAGTTCATGGTTGAATTGATGTTGGGACTTTTTGGACATAAGACATACATCTCCATGTTCTAAAATTAGGGAAGTCACCACTTGTCCTGTTTTGATTTCAGTCAACTGCATCATCCTGGAAGCACCAAGGGACACTGTTACAATGTACGAATTTTCTTCAATAAATTCTTCATTGTCACTATGAGCAGGCATATGTTCCTCTCCAGATTCATAGAGATTGACCAGAACACTGTTGTAGTTGTATTCTGGGAATAGCTCATCTAGAAAAGAACATATACTTGCCATGTAAGATCCCTGGGGGATCTTCTTTGGGTCATGCATTCCTCCACTGTACACGTAAGGATGTTTCTCAAAGTAGACTGATTTCCTGTTATGGAAGTGGTGGCTGAACTTTAATTCCTCAAATAAGATTTCAACAGAAAATTTGCTGAATGGTGCCTGTTCAATAAGTTCAACAGGTGTGATGGCGATATCAGGGATTTCATAGTCTGTAGTAAGGTCTGAACTTGACACAGGTGTTAAATCTAATCCTGCATAATATTCACCACTTCTTGGAATAACTGAGCCAGTGTCTGTAATCTCGCTGGTTGAAATGTCTATGTTGTTAGAAATAATTGATAGAGGTGCTTCTACATAGCCATCATCATCAATCAACAAAAATGATTCTGGTACCTCACATTCATTGTCATACTGAATGTTATTGTTGCTGGAGTCCGTTTGCACTGATACATCGAAACACTTGTATTGAGCAATTGATTGGTTTCCACTTTGAGGCGAAATAGTTTCATTAATCTCTGCTATTGTTTGTGAGGTTTGAACAATCTCCTCTAAAATGAACACTTTACGCTCCAGAAACTTCACGCGAGTTTCAAGATCTGAACAGTTTGTACATTTTGTATCACATTCCATCAATAATTTGCCAAAAAATGTTTCCAATGAATCGTTCATGATGTTGAGTTGGTTGAGTTGGTTGTAGATAAATAGATTGATTGAAGTCGATTGAAGTTGATTGAAGTTGATTGAATAGATTTGATACCTCCAATTACATTACATTTTTGTCATGTTGGTCATTTTGGTCATACCTCAAATTACTTGTTATATAGTAGTGTTGAAAGTATTAAAACAGACTGTTACAGGAATTACTAGAGTTGCAAACTTAGATGGTAGGATAACGCAGAGCACAATAGATGTTGTCATGACTAACTGTTACTCTAATTTCATAGAGTGTAAAGTACTTGATGATAGAATAGGAGATCACCAAGCTCTCAAATGTGTTCTCGACTTTAAAGTAAGTAAAGCTAGTAAATTCCAGAAGGTTCTTATCAGAGACCACTCCTTAAACAATCTGAAAGCCTTAAGCTATTTTCTGGGATCCTGCAGCAACTACAGTAATATTCTAAGCTGTACTAATGTAGACCATGCCCTAGATGGACTTAATCATCACATCCAGGAATCGTATGATAATTACTGTCCACCTAAACAGATAAAATGTAATAGTAACTTTCTCTGTAATCCCTCTAAAGAACTGTTGGCAGAAATACGGAAGAAGAAGATGCTTTTCAGAAAGTATAAAAAGTGTTTAGGACAATTAAACAAATTCAAGTGTAATTGTATTAATGGAATATGTAAATGCAGAAAAAGTGAACTACATAAGAAATGCTCTACTTCGTGGGATAACTATCGTCCCCAAAGAAACTATGTGACAAAATTATCCAAAGAAAACAGACGTACAAATATTGTTCAGGACCTTACTGTGAAAAGTGCAAAAAACGATTTAAAAGGCATTTGGAAAACTATCAAACATGCTTCAAACTTACCTGGAAAAATAAGTAGCTCTTCCCCAAGCAACTTAAATGTTAACGGAGTTAACCTGCATTTTGCCACAGTTGGTACAATAATACAAGAATCGATTAAGGAAAAGGATTCAGACGACTTCCTAGAATATATGCCGCCTCCAACAGAGTGTAAACTCTCTGTATTCGAAGAGGTGACTGTTGAACAAGTAAAAGAATATATACTCAGTATACCATCAGATAAATCGATTAACGATATCATGCCCATTAAAATATATAAGTATATTATTCCCCAAATCATCGATCCAGTAGCTCATATTATAAACCTTAGTATGAAAAGTGGAACAATGCCGTTGGCATGTAAAATTGCATCAGTCACTCCAATTCTTAAAACTGGTGACCCTAATGATCCAAATAACTACCGGCCAATATCCATACTCCCCCTACTTGGAAAATGCATAGAATATTTTGTTAACCAACAGCTTACAGAGTATGTTGAAACAAATAAACTGCTTACCAACCATCAGTATGGTTTTAGAAAAGATCATTCCACCACTTTTCTAATGCTTAATCTATTTGATAAAATATTTACGTCTAAGGAATCACAGAAGAAACCTGCAATTGTATTCTTAGATATCAAAAAGGCCTTTGACACAGTAAGCCATAATATTTTATTAAAAAAACTTAAGTATTATGGAGTTGATGGCTTTGTCATAAAGTGGTTCAAAAGCTACCTTGGGGACAGAAAGCAACACACCAAAATACGTGGTAATGTAAGCACATCACTCCCTGTTAAAACAGGTGTGCCACAGGGTAGCATATTAGGACCAATTCTATTTAGTTTATTCATAAATGATCTCAGTAGAAATTGCACACAATCTACTGTTTACTTATTTGCAGATGATAGTGCACTATATTTTGATAACATTTCCCGAGGCATATATGAGAATGTAATTAAGGATATGAAAATTGTGTATGAATGGCTTAGAATCAACAAGCTAAGACTAAATGCTGCAAAATCTTCATTCATTGTATTTGATAGATCACCTAATCTGGACACGTTGACAATCCCTCTGGATTTGGAAAAAGAATGCCTATTTATAGAAGAAACTAAATCTCAAAAATATTTAGGTCTCATGATAGACAATTTATTGAACTTTCAAGACCATATTGATTATGTGAAATCAAAAATTGCTAAAAGAATAGGGGCATTATACAGGTCGAAAAATCTTCTTCCACTGAAATATAGAAAAAAGTTTGTAAATGCTCTTATGCTCCCCCAATTTGACTACCTGGATATAATATGGTGTAGGGCTGCCAAAACCAAACTTAATTCTCTTGATATATTATACAAGAAAGTAGCAAAAATTGCTCTGGATGTACATTGGCAGGAACCATCAGTAAATGTATATCGAAATATGAAGTGGTTACCCTTACACTTAAGAAGACAACTCCATCTATCAACGTATATGTATAAAATCCTTAATGAGGCTGCACCATCATCATTCACAGATAAATTTTCTTATGTATCCGGAGGATCACGTGATGCTGAGAGGTGCAACCTTTATATTCACAAATCCAGAACACACAAAACCTTTACATATTTAGGTGCAAAATGTTGGAATACAATTCCAGAGAACATAAGGACTATAGAATGTAGTGTAAAATTCTCACAATGTATGAAATCTAAATTTATGTCAGATGTAATTCAAGGAGTCTCATCCTATGAAATAAACAATAGTTTCGACTATTTCTACACTCTAGCTATGTGACAACTGAAACAAATTTTATGGTGCTGGAGTTTTTGTCGGGTGGAAAGGCCCCCTGCGTTATATATGACCTAGGTTTTTCCAGAAGTATAGAACTTTAAACATCTCCTTTATTCGTTCCCATTTTTTATCATTGCCAATCTATTATTGTTCTATACTTCTCTGTATATAACTGTAAATAACATTACTAACGTAATCCCAAAGTGGGCATCTATGTAATCTTAATTGTTACCTTCATGCCCACAGTTCACTGTTAAATCATATCTTATTTTATCACTCATTAATTTATTACTCATTATGTTTTACATACTATATCCTTATGTCCCTAGAAGGGTGTTCTGATAACAGTTTTCGACTGACTTGAATGTCCTGCACAGCAGATTGAAGCTTCTTAAATTATTTTTATTCTTATTGTATTGCTGTGTAAATTTGATTCTAATTCTAATAATTCTAATTCTAATCCAACCTATATCCATTTATTCACATTTGTAACTCAGGTTAAATCTACACTCAACGTCCCAAGTGTTGAGTCATTTGATAGATTATGTCATTTTACCAATTTCATTCAGCACAAATTTCCTTTTTTATTTATCACAATTCTTTCATACGTAAAAACTTCAATTTGAACAGATCTATCAAATGAGACGATGAGGGACCTGACATTTACCGAAATGATTCAAATGTGTAATTCATATATTTTCAGTGAAGCAGGGTTCGGGAACTAAAGCATATTTGTTGGATTGTTTGACCATTGACTAGCGATGACCGATAAATTCGAACGATAAATTCGCTCCCTTATAGTGTCCTTTAATAAAATTTTCGACTACAGCGGATTTCAACGCGCGGTGTTATGCTGTATGCTACGTCAGAATTTCACAACTAGCTCACATTTACCCTCATGACGCTATATACCTATATATATTTATAACTTTGGTTGTGATTGAAATTTTTTGATGCGGTAAAAAGTATCGTTTTGGGGCTATATGATGAAGAGAAATTAAAACATAACTGATGTTTAAAATTTCCTCGAACAAAGCTTTCGACTAGCGGCGGGTTTCTAGTAGCATTATATGTAGGGGTTCTGGTTGAATTATATCACTTCTGAGAGGTTTTAGAATTTAGAGATCGATTCTGTAAATTTCTCAATTTTCCGATTTTTCCGATTCCGATTTTGGCCTCATCAACCCTCATATCGGACATCGGGTTGGACCCCCCCCCCCCCCCCCCCCCCCCAGCTATTTGCCAGTGATTTAGTCTTATGGGAACCTACGCACGGTAGAGCACAGCAAGGCCGACCAAGGCAAAGCTACTTGTCTATGTTACTGAAGGAAGTTGGGACAAACTCTAAAGAGGAACTGCGAACCCTCATGCGGGACAGGGATATATGGAGGGGGTTATCTGGCGTAGATCGGACTTAGCTCCGACATAGTCTAGTAGTAGTAGTAGTTAATGAACGGACATTAAAATGAACGCTTGAACTCAAAGGCATTAAAAACCATAAAAGTAGTAGTATACAGAAAAATCGATATACCTTACGAGACATATATTTAAAAGGTACAAAATACGGTGGTTTTCCGAAATTTAGGTCACCATAATTTTTGGGGTGCGAAATGAGTAGGTTTCGGTCCCAAATCAATTAGGTCACCGGGATTTCGTACCTTTTAAATATGTCTTGTAAGGTATTCAGATAGTTTTTGAATTCTGAAGTAAAGTAAAACTAGAAAGTAATTTGATTTCCAGTATTTTGCCCCCAAGTACGAAGTATTTTTATGTTATTCAGTAGTATTATTATTGTATTGCTGTGTAAATTTGATTCTAATTCTATTTTTAATTTATTCAGTACCTCTCAGGAGGGATGGGAATATGTCTTGAAGCAGTCCAAGATCATGGTCAGATATAGGGATGTTGCTCTGCTGATGATCATGTAGGGCCTGCCTAATGCGCTCCTCGTCTGAGCACGGTCTTTGAGTCATTTGCTAAATAGCTTAAAGAAAGCAAAGAGGTTAGTCACAGGTTAACAGTAGTCAATAAGCAAGGTTTAGAGTCGATTATTTAATTCAAATGAAAACATGGAGCTAGGTTGATGAACAATGTAATGAACATAGTGAAAGGGCTTTCTTTATCTTGTATATAATACAGTTTTAGCCGTAAATCGAAAATCAGTACAGCCAATGCTGTATCATATTTAGTGGTGCTAAATTTAAGGGGGCCTGGGGTGGTGAATTTAAATTTAGACTAAAGTTATTTTTCAGTAGCTGAGGTTGTCAATGAATGGACAAATAACTTAACCTGGTCAGCAGGCTCACTTCTTATTGACGTTAAATCAGCATCCAGGAGCATGCGCATTGCTGGAAAAATTGTTTAAAAATTGTTTTGTGTTGGTCAAAAATTCTATCGTGCCACGTTTTCAGAAGCTGTGGAGTTAAATCACATTTTTTTATTCAAATACAATCCAATAATTTTTTCAGTAGCACCTGCCTTTAGCTTTGTAACAAAGGAGGTTCAGTAAGGTTCTGAAGTTTGTGATGTGAGATATTCACTACAATAACTATAACTACAGGACAAATTCTTCATTTTAAATTAATATCTATATTCTATACCCTGCAACTCATACAACAAATCATAGCGAAAGACAATTATGGTTCACAATGCAAATAATAATGGGCATAATTTTAATTTTTCTAAGTATAGGTCGTAAAGGTTAACAATATGTAGCCAGACTCTTTTACCAATCACTTAGAATACTTTTGAAAGTACTTAACTTTACTTTAATTCACTTTAAGTATAAGTAAAGAGGACAGCAAACTGAAAAACGTTATTGTGATCTTATTTCTTCGTGCAAAATCACAGTTGCCCTGGTTAGAGTAACTTTTGTTTTGTTGGTTAATAACCTACGAGTATCACTTCAAAATCAAGCAATTTGCTGTCCATTGTTAATCATTGATGGACTAAGATACTTACGCTATTGTGATTTTCACGGAGAAATACGTCAATAGCTGATAGCGTTTTTGAGCTTTTTATTCTCTTTCAAAAGTATTACATGTGAATTGTATAGTATCTAAAGTGCATATGGTATGAATGTGAACTCCACATCAATGAGAATACATGAAACATAGTATAATTAGTTATCGAATTGCACATCGAAAAGATGACCAAACACAGCGAAAATGAGTTTTAAATTGCAACAATAACATTCAAAACTATTAAGGTACTTTGCGTGAAAATATGACAGTATTTGTGTTAAAATATGACAGTATTTGTGTGAAAATATGACAGAGTTTTCTATGGCGCTCGATTTTAATACTATGGTGTAGATTTCGAAAATATGCGCGGCGCGCCTAAAATTTTTCTTTCCATTTAAAATAAAACTTTGTGGCCAAAATCATATTTATTTGTCCATTTACCATTGTCATACGTTGTATGACTCGCCGCGCACGGGTGCGCGGCTCCCCTGTATCGTTGAAACCCCTGTATCGTTATAACTCTAATCTCTATAGTGAGGCAACAGTGGTGGTTACCACGTGATACAAATATATACTACTGCCCTATCAGTGTGTGTATAAAATGAGTCTATTTTGCGCGCGCGACGCCAGTTATGTGTTAATTAATTACAGGCATAGCAACCAGTTTTCGGTGCTTGACGACTGATACACACGGATCAATCATCAATTTAATTGTTATTTTTGTAAAAGGAAGCTTAATAAATTACCGAGTGATAAAATTTAGCAAGTCAAACAAAATAAAATTATGATATCAGCTGATAAACTCGTGGCTGATTATTTAACAGTTAATCGACACTGAATGGTAAATATGGTGTCCGAATTGCACTGATTTTAGCCTTGAATCACGTAGTGACCCCCACTGTCGCAGCACTATAGAGTTTCAACTATACAGGGGAGCCGCGCACCCATGCGCGGCGGGTCATACAACGTATGACAATTCTAGCCCGAGTAGTGTTCGAAAGGCCGGCGCCCTGTTTTGACATACAGCTCTTGAGCCGGTATTCATTTTTTCTCTGAGCTAGCTAGTGTGTTTCAATTTATTGTTGGTGTTTTGTTTGTGTTTGTTTGTCCGTAGTAGGAATTTACTGTTTGTTTGAAGACTGGGCGCGGTAATGTCCCAAAGGGTTTGTAATTAACATCATGGATGCTGACTAGGAGGACTTCGCCGCTTCGACACGCCGCGCAAACTTGCATAATATACTGCATACTTGCTTCGCATCGAATCATTCTCAATATGCAATAGATTGACATTTGACACCGTCAATCAACAATTTTCGCTAAAAATGTTACACAGCGCTTGTTCGCCGCGCGTGCTTTTTTCGCGCAAATTTTTAGTTTTTGGCCTAATTCTTTCTCATTTTCAATTATTATCACATATATATAATAGTTATTATGGTATAATCGTAATCAGCTCATTGAGACGAAACTTTTAGTATTATTAAAAGCGCTTATGTGTTATGATCGCTTTTCTACCGCTTTTCCTTATACCACCCATGGCCTGGTTGGCAGGAATTAGAAAACGCTTATAAGCACTTTTTCAATGCTGCACCTAACTTGGTCGGAACGGGGTAGCGCCCGGAATTTAAAAGCGCTTATAAGCACCTTTTCAATGCTGCCCCTTACCCGGTCGGAACGCTCCTACTAAATCGCTCGCCCAAATTTTAAGAAAATTCTTGTGAGAAGGCCCTTTGGGTATGAAAGTTATCTGAATCAGTGTATTTTTGGACGCTGATTCCGAATCACCCCCCATGACGTAGGGTTAAAATACTTCCCTGGAGAGTTATTGGTAAAAAACCGTTTTGGTCATGTGACAGGCTAGTAAAATACTAATTCGATTGTTTAGGGCTCGGCTTAGAGTTAGGGTTGTGGTAAGGGTTACCGGTTATGGTTAGCTTCGGGGTTATGATTAGGGTTAGGGTTGGGATAAGGGTTTCCGGTTTATGTAAAACCGTTTTGTACGGCTGCAAAACCATAAAAACCAAATGCCAAAGTCACGTGACATTTTTGGGCGAGCGAATTAGTAAGAGCCCGGTCGGAACGGGGGAGTGCCCGGAATTAAAAAGGCGCTAATAAGCGATTTCTCAATTCCCTTAACCTGGTCGGAACTGGAAATCAGAGTGCCCGCTTATAAGTGCTTTTCTGTGCAACCTGGGGTGCACCGGCAAAGTTTGTCATACGTTGTATGACCCGCCGCGCACGAGTGCGCGGCTCCCCCTGTATCGTCGAAACTCTACACTATAGTGAAGCGACAGTGGGGGTCACCACGTGATACAAGGCAGAGTCAGGATTAAAAAGCGCTTATGATTGCTTTTCTACCGCTTTTCCTATCACCCATGGCCTGGTTGGCAATAATTATAAAGCGCTTATAAGCGCTTTTTCAATGCTGCCACTAACCTGGTCGGAACGGGGGAGTGCCCGGAATTAAAAAGCGCTTATAAGCGCTTTTTCAATGCTGCCCCTAACCTGGTCGGAACTGGAAATCAGAGTGCCCGCTTATAAGTGCTTTTCAATTTCTGAGCAACCTGGGGTGCACCGGCAGAGTCAGGATTTAAAAGCGCTTATGATCGCTTTTCTACTGCTTTTCCTATCACCCATGGCCTGGTTGGCAAGAATTAGAAAGCGCTTATAAGCACTTTTTCAATGCTGCCCCTAACCTGGTCGGAACGCGAACGGGGGAGTGCCCGGAATTAAAAAGCGCTTTCTCAATTCCCCTCAACCTGGTCGGAACTAGACTGGAGAGTGCCCACTCGTATGTGCTTTTCTGAGCAACCTGGAGTGCACCGGCAGAGTCAGGATTTAAAAGCGCTTATAGGCGCTTATGATCGCTTATCTACCGCTTTTCCCATCACCCATGGGCTGGTTGGCAGGAATTAGAAAGTGCTTATAATAAGCGTTTTTCAATGCTGCCCCTAACCTGGTCGGAACGGGGGAGTACCTGAAATTAGAAAGCGCTTATAAGGGAGAGTGCCAGGAATTAAAAAGCGCTTATAAGCTTAACGGGCGATACTCGTAAAATATTTGTTTCAAATATTACGGCGCGCGTCCTGGTAAGTTATAAATTTACAATTATAAGCACAAATCTAAACATCCGTTCACCTGGGGTGCACGGAATTTAAATGCGCTTATAAGCGCTTTTCTCGATGCCCCTAAACCTGTCATGCACTGGCGGGAGTCAGGATTTGAAAAGTGGTTATAAGCGCAGCGATTACAATCACTTTTTATTACTGGCATGGTTTTTACCGCTTTATCTATCATTTATCAACATGGATTTAAGCATAGTTGTTTGACTGGCGATCTAGAAGTAGAAGCCAAGCAAAAAGGCTAAGTGCACGGCGCGGCAAAGTTCTCCGACAATAATTGTCAGAAATTGTAAAGCGCTTGCAAGCGTTTATTTATATGTTGTTAAATCAAAGTCAACCAGGATCCCTGAAACTGTCAAATATCATAATCGCTTTCGAAACAATCCATCTGATCAAGCTGCCCTTTTTAACGAATATTTTTATGAGCAGTTTTCTCAAGAGAGCGATTATGGCATTGACATAGATTTTCGTGATGATTGTTTTTCAAGTCTTGTGTTTAGTAGAGAAGATGTTCTGTTGATTCTTAAAAAGTTAAATCCTAACAAGGCCCCTGGCCCTGATGGGATTCATGGGAGAGTCCTCAAAAACTGTGCCCAAAGCCTTGCATACCCACTTAGTGTTTTATTTAACCTGTCTTTCTCGAGCGGATGCATACCCCCTGATTGGAAGCTGGCACTTGTTATAGTACCAGTGCACAAAAAGGGCGATAAGTCTTCGGTTGAGAACTACAGGCCTATCTCGTTAACATCTCTTGTAATGAAAGTCTTTGAAAGGTGCATAAAGACTGCATTATACGCTGCATGTTCTGATCTGTTGGATGACCGACAACACGGTTTTGTTAATGAACGTTCATGCACAACCCAAATGATACCTTTCACGGACAATCTTGCACTTGCATTGAATAACAGGTCCAGGACTGATATAATATATTTTGATTTTGCGAAAGCTTTTGATAGCGTTTCGCATGACCTCATTTTAAGTAAATTAAAGAATATTTTTAATGTCGATGGACTAATGCTTAAATTTATTAAGTCCTATCTTAAGGGGCGACAACAACAAGTAGTGATAGGAGGCCAAACGTCTTCTTCTCTACCAGTTCGGTCTGGTGTCCCTCAAGAAACGTGCTGGATAACTTGCCATTCAATACCTTCTTTTATAAACTTTCTGGAAGTGATATTGACTTTGTGCCCTCTCAGTCAGATTTAGGAGTCGCAATAAACTCCAGGTTTAATTGGGGTGCACAATGTAAAGCGCTTGTTTCCAAAGCTACCTCTAGACTTGGACTACTTAAGAGAACATGTCATTTCACTACTGATAAAAGGCAGAAAAGATCGTTCTATTTAGCGTTAATTAGGTCTATATTTGAAAATTGTTCTGTCATATGGTCCCCTCAATCTGCAACTCATCTTCAACAGTTTGTTGCTATCCAAAAGAGGACTATTAAATGGATCAATGGTGAACCTTACTCCAGTTATAATGACGATAAACTTGCTACAGAGCAAAAGAAACTAAATATTCTCCCTGTTAAACAGAAGTTTATTTATAACGATCTTATGACCTTCTATAAAATAGTGAATAGCATAATTCCAGTTTCGCTCCCTACATATATAGTCCTATGCCGTCCAGAGGGCACCCGATACACTAGGCACAATGCTCAAATAATTGATATGTCGGATACTTCAACTTACATGAGTACCACTGTGCCCTGCTCGGATGCCTTCCGAAATAGCTTTTTTCATAGATCTATGCTGAAATGGAATAGTCTACCAGTATGTATCCGGCAGTCAGAGCGGATTTCTACTTTTAAGGCCAAACTGATCAAGTACCTCTGGGCTGCCGATACAGTCTGGCCAGATTAGCTCATTAGTCTTATCAGTCTCAGAAATTTGTTTTTGTTGGTTACAATTCTGTCCGTCCAATTTCCTATCTGCTTGTCCTTTTCTTTTTTCTTTATCAGTTGTGACGGAATTGTAATGAACAAAATCCTTATAATTATTTATGATATGTTTGATTTCTTGTTAATGTTTGTCATTCAAATTTGGTAGACGGCCCCAACGTTAATGTGGCTCTTGCTATGTGTTGGTTCAGCCGAATTAATTATTATATAATCAAGTTTATTTTTCTCGTTAGTTGTCATCAGGCCAAACATTAAGCAACTTATATTGCAGTACCATTTACCATTTAGTATATCAAAATATGTCATTGTAATTTTGCATGGCTGAAATGTAACGCTTGATTTATATATTATATAATGATCAATTGAATTTTCAAATAAAAAAAAAAAAATGGTGGCGGTTGTCCTGGTGGCAGTCGATGCGCGCTGAGTCATCAGTCATACACACTTCACATTCAGAACTTGCAAAAGAAAAGTATAGTATATGAAATTAAATTATTGCGCTGGGCCACGCTCAGCCTGTCAACGAGTATGACAGGCCTGTTCGTTCATGTCATTCCATGGAATCTCTAGTAGGGCTGAGCGAATCACGACGTCCGAAAAAAGTGCAGTGCTCATTTTACCTGGGGACCTCAGGCTATTATGTTCATAAACATATGAATAGAGATTCGGCGGAATGACAGGCTGAGCGCGGCCCAGTAACAAATAAGTTCCGACCAGGTTAAGGGGAATTCAGAAATCGCTTATAAGCGCTTTTTAATTCCGGGCACTCCCCCGTTCCGACCAAGTTAGGGGCAGCATTGAAAAAGCGCTTATAAGCGCTTTTAAATTCCGGGCACTACCCCGTTCCGACCAGGTTAGGGGCAGCATAGAAAAAGCGCTTATAAGCGCTTTTTAATTCCTGCTCACCTGGCCATGGATGATAGGAAAAGCGGTAAAAGCGGTAAAATAGCGATGAATTAGCCGTAATAAGCGATTTCTAAAAAAGCGATTATAATCGATTATAAGCGGTCATAAGATTAATATAGCGTTTTCCTGACTCAATTTTAAAAACGCTTACAAGCGCTTTGTTTGCGCTTTACAAACAGCTAAATTGCACCCCACTTATAAATGCTTATAATCGCTTATAAATGGTTCAAAAAAGCGCCTACGAATCGCTTATCCGGCCAACTGCTTATCCACCCGTTTTTGGCGCCAATTTTACTGGAAAATCGCTTTCAAATCGCTCAGCAGGACTTATGATCGCTTAAAAGCGCTTATAAGCGCTTTTAAATGTAAAAAAGCGCTTTTAAATGTAAAAAAGCGCTTTTTGAATTATGACATCAATTATAGTCGATTATAAGCGATTTTTTTTGAACCGTTTATAATCGTAAAAAGTCGATTGTAAACGGTTTAAAAAAAGCGCCGAGAGAAAGCGCCCAATAAGCGATTATTGGCGCCGATAATAAAATATTGTTTATGGAAACTTGCTTTATTATAGAAATGACTAGGCGGTCGAATGCTGTCGGAAACGAGGAAAAAGCAGATTCTTGAGCTAAAACAATAAAATGTAGAACGACTTTTCGATTTATTGTATAATTATACTTATAGCTATAGCAACTTTTTATTTCAATGATTTCATCAACTTCACTTTAAGAGAAATGGGCTTTTTCTAAATTTACTTCCGTTAAATTATTTGCATTTCGCTTTAATATTTTTATAATAAATCATAAATATTTATTTCGAAAACTGGTAAAAATATTTGCACTTATTAGGAGATATGACGCACGTTCTATCACAATAATAACAAAGATGGATAAATATATATACCACCAGCGGGCGCTTGTATAAAATTGAACTATAGACAAGATCGCCACTAATTGTTGTAACCATGGTAACACGTCACGTGTTCAATGTAAGCCAATCATTTTGGGCTGCGTCGTATATTATAGGGGCTGGAGATAAGCGATCCATACTGGCACTGCACATTCCTGGGCCGTGGGAATAATTAATGTAATGTCAGTGACGATGAACATCAATAATAGGGGGATTATAGTGCTGATCATGTGTATTGTGTAGTGTGTTATAATGACATGTGCAGTAATGTGTATCGATCATCATAAAGATGGTGCACGTGGATTGCTGTATCATCAGCTGGCAGCCCTGCCGGACACAAAAATAAAATATATATCTCCGGGCTATATTATTATATCGCCCGATGGTATAGCGGGCTCCCGCTATATCAGCAGGCTGTGAGAGCGGGCTGGGATATAATATCATGTCTTCTAACTAGCGGGCTGCACGGTCCTGCTGGCGAAAATATAGCCCGCTGGTGGATATAATATTAATATTGATATGCAGCTATACCAGATATATTTAAATATATTTTTTAATAGAAAATGATCGTATGAAATGATAAATAAGGCGTTTAGTTATTCTGTCCTGGCTCTTATTTGTGCTCTCAAAGAATCCATTCTTCTAACTGAGAAAGTTTAGTGGTAATCGGAGTTTGGGGCTCTATTTTCCATGAAGTTTTGGGAGTCAATCTTGCCTTGAACTTAGCATAATTTTTTAGTGTTGACAATTGATAAATTTCCGCTTTGGGAGTTTGTTTTAGAGTTTGTTTTCTCTTGAATTTTACAACATCACTCTGTGGTGGGGGCGTGGGTGTTATCTTTCCTCGGCCTCTGATCTAGAGGAGAAGCGGACCTTTTTCCGGAGACATACGAACTTGAATGCCACTGCATCTTTTATCTCTGTCTGAGCATTGACAAAACTTTTTGGTCAAGTCGATCTATTGGGATTGTTAGTGTTAGTTTCTTGAGCTGCCACTGTATCTTTTATCTTTGTCTGAGCATTGAACTTCTCGGTATAATTGATTTCTGGACTGTTAGACATTAGTGTTAGATTATTGAGCTTCAAGGAACTCTAAATTGCTGGGAACTGGGTCGCCCGGAGGAGTTAAATCGTGCCCTGACTGGTCTCCAAGTGGAAAGTGGGAGCTGAAATGATAACCTGATCAATAAAACAAAATGAACGCCGGGTCGAATATGTAAAAATCACATAAGCTGATTAGAATTCTTAAGCAAGGAAAATTATTCGTTAAACTGACTTTTAAGTTTTAACACTCATCTTATTTGAATATGATAAATACACAATATATTATCTTGAATGTGATTGTGAAAATGATCTTTGCTAGAAACATAGCCTACCTGGGTGGTGGTTATTTTCCCGGTGTTTATTTTCCCGTTTTTTAACCATATTTGGGCAAAAACGACATATTTGTGCCCATATTTGATAAAAACGTGCAAATAAACTCCGGGTAAATAACCACTAAGGTACTCAGCAGGGCTTATTTTGCAGTGAGCCACTCTAAAGTACTAAAATATCAATGAACTAGTGTAGCTCGTGCCTAAGGCCGGGACTTCACTACATTGCAGTTGAAATGCAAAAGACCAAACCTGCCTATAACACGCATGACATTGTCGTATGTGACCGCAATGAGTGCCCCCCTCCCCCCCCCCCCCTTTAATAAGCTTATAGTATTACATAACAGTGAATCTTTGGGCTAACCTAATAATGATTCATGTACCAACGCTGCATATTCAGTAATGGGAGAGTGAGCGAGGAGGGAGAAAAAGTGAGCCCTTTTATGTCATATTTGATATTTGTGTTACAAAACCATCAATTAATCCACTTACCACCGGCCGATTAAAAAATTGCTTATAATTGGCTTCATCAGATCTTTTTCGAAACTTTAAGGAAAAAAATCGCTTCCATGACTCTAACCGTTTACTTGATATTAAACCGCTCGGAAATTACACGCGCACACACATAGAGACAGACACACAGACAGACACATATTCTGAGATTATTATTCAGATAGAATTGCTGCAAAAGGGCTTATATGTCTTAAAGGCTAAAGCCATTATCATTTATCATATTACCAGCTATTGTGAATTTCAAAAGGGCTTATTATATCTTACAGTTAATTCGTTTTTAATTCATATAGATCTGCCTCCAGAGAAGTTTGATGGCATCAATGTCATCAAAATGTGTAATGATCTAATTAACATAATCACCATTGACAAACAGATTTGAGCCAAATCGAGTGAAAATTGATACTGCTAATTAAAAACATTAATATCTCATAACTGTATTTTTTGAGATAAGCCCTTTTTGTATGTTACTGACAATTATTGTGGTTTATCCCAATTGCTTTAAGACGGTTTTTAAAAGAAAATAGAGCTTTTAACTGCATGAATGGAGTAGATGTAACTGAAAAGAAATTGCAACCAAACATTTTAACACAATTTGGTAAATCAGTAAATACACTATAGAGTAAAGCTGCAAAATAGGAGTTGAACAAGGATTTAAAATAAACATGCTAAAAAGAGAAAACCAGGAAATTAATCTAAATAAATTATAAAACCTGCTACTGGGTTTATTTTTAGATTTCTTCCCAATGTTACGGAAGAAATACGACCACTTCTGGTAAATGTCCGGTTTGATTGCACAGTGAAAGATGAAAATCAGGACTCCTACGGAATAAAATCGTTTAAACAAATTTAGAAATGACATTACAGCATCAATAATAGCCGGTAGAAATGCAGTTCATTGTAATGCTGGTTGTGACAATTAAATTGGTTATACTGCCATGATAATTATGAAATGATAATGATTTCAAATCATAGATTTTTAAAAATTCATAACCTTTGGTTAACCACCTTCCTTGTGTTGTTGGATAATCATATGACTTTATGAGCGGGATATAAATACCTCATTTCATTTCATTCTATACCTTGCAGAGTATTGCAGACAGTAAACAGATAGTGGAATGCAATATTAGCGGGATGGTCGAACACCAGAAACCCCAGCACCCAGGCGAGACCCAAAACACACGACAAAGTACAAACAGCCTTCAACTTTGAGATTATTTTCTGTATTTCACTCTCGGAATGCTGGTATCTTCCTTTCTTGCAGATTTTGGCCATAACATAGATGAAGATACCCCAGTTAACAATACTCGATACACCTGTGGAATGTTATTAGCAAGTTATTAGTGTAATGTTCATGTTTAAATTAAGTAATTTATTCAGGAGATTGTAACAATAATTTAATTAGGTTTGTTAAACTGTTAGTGTTGCTATTCGAAATATTCCTCATAACCAATAAAATTGTCGCTATCAGTTCCCGTGAAATCTCTACAAACCTACCAATTGGAGCATAGAAAACGTAGTATTGCATTGGTATGGTGCTCTCGTTGGAATTCCGAAGCAGACAAACTGTCTCGTCAGTATAACTGTCATAAGATATTCCGACTGTTAAACCAACAATCAGTCCCGGTATCACAAATACCGATATCGCTGAAAGATATGAAACATTCATGAAACCTCCTACCTACCTATGTCACCTATGGGAATTGTGAAACTAACAAAAATCCCTTCTTACAACTCTAAAACTATTTCATTTCACTTAAAGTGACATAGTGACAAAGTGAAAAAGTGACAAATGTATCCTCTAAATTTCTAAGGCAAGGTCCTGAAGGATCGAACAACAAAATAAACCTGATTTCATTATAAATCTGGAGCTCCTAGCTTGAAGGATCCTGATGAAGAGCAACCAGAGATTGCAAGATTCCACCACAGTCCACATAAGCACAGTTAACCACAAGTAATGCAGAACTATAGCTATAGCTTTACAGAGGTGCTCGTTCATGCCATCATAATGTTTTGCTCCTGCGGTGAGTTACAAGTTAAGAACAATTTCTCATAACGATCACAGTTTCAGATCCTCCATTTATTGCTTCACATTGTTATGTTTCCACGTTGTTTAAAACTCGAAACGATAATTTCCACACCCCTCCCCAGTCCCCAACACTTACCTCCCAGGAAGAGGAGCATGGCAAGTAACATGGTTGTAGCCAGGCAGATGTGAATCTTGTTAGAAGGAGACCGTCTGATGTCCTTGAACCAAGTGAGGGCTATGAGAGTGAGCACTAGAGCAAGACACGACATTCCCCCGCACACGTAGGTTAGGTAGGATAGTATGCGGTCGTGCGGGGCGTCTAGTCCCTTGCCCTGGAGAGGAGGGGTTTTATTTAGTGATGATTTAGTTTGTTACTTTGAAACGTAGGCAGCTCAAGTTTAAATACATAGCGACAAATCAGTAAACAATCTTGTTCTTCTGCAAATCAGTAAAAAAATTATTATTTTTGGAGTTCCCCAGGGATCACTTTTTGGGGCCTATTCTTTTCATCCTTTATATCAAAGCTCTCCAGAAAATTGCGGCCAAATATGGTCTTGATATACAGCTCTATGCAGATGATTCTCAACTGTACATCTCATTTAAACCAAACCATGTGGTACAGTTGATTGATGTCCAAGACAGAACGAACAAATGTCTCGCAGAGATAAGAGCATGGATCGTGAACAACTACATGAAACTGAATGATACAAAGACAGAACTACTGTTGTTAGGAAAGAGCCATGTTCTAAAAAAGTGTGAACTCATTATCAGACTGCAATTTGGAAGCGCTGAAATTCTACCTACGGAGTGTAAAGGAGACAGCTGGAAGAGTCTGGGTGTCAAATTTGATGAAACTCTAAATATGGAAAGAACGATCAATAATGTCAAAAGGAAATGCAGCTGGACAATGATGAACTTAAGAACCATTGGTTGTTACCTGGATAAAGGCATTAAATTGATGCTGGTGAAACAACTGGTCATATCTAAATTAGACTACTGTAATTCTGTTTACATGAATCTACCCAAGACCACGGACTTGGTTCCCTTCTATAAGAAGGCCCACATACTCCCTATAGACCAACGAATCTTCTTTAAAGTTTTCATTTAACCCACAAATCAGTCCACGGTACTGCACCTGATTACCGCATGTAGCGGATATAGAACTTTCAAACACCATGACCAGGTCGAAGAGACCTGGTGAGTGGTGACCATCTCATGCTCAAAGTACCAAAGAATAAAAAGTCCAAAGTTGATGACAGAACTTTCTCAAGCCATTCACCGATTGCATGGTACTCTCTTCCCCTGATGTAGAGATGTACTACTGATACCAACTGTTTCAAGCGAATGTTAAAGAATTATTTATATAACCAGTTCTGATGTTTTTATTTCCATTGTCTTCACTGGAAAGGCTTTTATTTTTTACCGCACTCCATTTTATGTCTTGATCTCTTACTTTCTAGGATTTGTTTCTTTCTTGATTGATTATGTCACTGTACTTACCTTTATTATACCTACATGTATTGTATGGTTTCTGCTTCTATTTAGTTTAGTGCGGCTTACAATAGAAGATGTGGAAGTGGGGCTGGGTACATCATCACGACTGACAACAACAACACCACCCTGGAAGAGAGATCATTCAAGCTCCCTGATTATTGCACTGTCTACCAGACAGAGCTCACTGCAATCATTGAAGCCTGCAAGTATCTCTCATCCTACACCAACTCACACATCATTATATGGTCTGATAGTCTCTCCTCCATACAAGCTATTTCCTCGCTCTCAACGAGGAGCAGAACTACTAGAGACTGTTATGACACCCTTAATGCACTCGGATCGAACAACACTCTAGAGATCCGATGGATTGCAGCCCATATTGGGTTGTGGGGAAATGAAAAAGCGGATGAGCTGGCCAAGCTTGGCACGACCAGCGAACTCGTTTTGAAATGCCCAATCCCTCAATCTTACATCAAACGACAAATCGACAACAAAGTCCACAGACTGAATCAGGATATCTGGTTAACGGATGGTCCTAGACACACCAAACTAACACTTGGCCAAAAGCACACCAAAATAATTAATAATATAAACACGTCACTCATCAACAATAGACAAGACTATAGAACCGCAGTCCACCTAATCACGGGCCACTGCGGCTTAAACAAACACCTCCACACCATCCGCAAATCAAGCACCAGTGCTTGTCCCATGTGCGGAGACGGAGAGGAGACTGTCTCACACTTTCTTGGACAGTGCCCAGCTATTGCCCAACTAAGAGGTCAATACTTTCGGGACTACTACCTCTCGGTCAACGACATATTCGACAACCACCACATTACCACAATCGTTAACTTCGCAAACCGCACCAAACGCTTAATAGTACCAAAAGAACTGGATCAGACTGGCGTAACTTAGCGCATTAACACATTACATATGCAGCCTTGCCTAACTGATTTCTAATCTCATCTGGTACCAAAGTGCGGTATTCCCATTCAGATCATTACCACCACCGTCCTCCACAATTCACACTGTTGTCCCCGACAAACTCCCCCACATCCCAGAGGTAGGCAAAGCATCTTAATGCTATCCTCCAGTGGGCTTTCTATGCCCAGCCTCTCTCTAAAAAAAAAAAAAAAATAGAAGATGTTTTAATTTTGTCTTTGCCTTATGATGAGTTATACTTTAGTTCACTTTTACACATTTGCTCACATCAGCCGCTCTGACATGGTCAGCCGCTCTGACATGGTTTACCACCTTCCTTGTGTTGTTGGTTAATCATATGAGCGGGATATAAATACCTCATTTCATTTCATTTCATTTCATTTCATTTCATTTCATTTCATTTCATTTCATTTCATTTCATTTCATTTCATTTCATTTCATTTCATTTCATTTCATTTCATTTCATTTCATTTAAATTTAATTTCGATTTCGTTTCGTTTCGTTTCGTTTCATTTCATTTCATTTCATTTCATTTCATTTCATTTCATTTCATTTCATTTCATTTCATTTCATTTCATTTCATTTCATTTCATTTCATTTCATTTCATTTCATTTCATTTCATTTCATTTCATTTCATTTCATTTCATTTCATTTCATTTCATTTCATTTCATTTCATTTCATTTCATTTCATTTCATTTCATTTCATTTCATTTCATTTCATTTCATTTCATTTCATTTCATTTCATTTCATTTCATTTCATTTCATTTCATTTCATTTCATTTCATTTCATTTCATTTCATTTCATTTCATTTCATTTCATTTCATTTCATTTCATTTCATTTCATTTCATTTCATTTCATTTCATTTCATTTCATTTCATTTCATTTCATTTCATTTCATTTCATTTCATTTCATTTCATTTCATTTCATTTCATTTCATTTCATTTCATTTCATTTCATTTCATTTCATTTCATTTCATTTCATTTCATTTCATTTCATTTCATTTCATTTCATTTCATTTCATTTCATTTCATTTCATTTCATTTCATTTCATTTCATTTCATTTCATTTCATTTCATTTCATTTCATTTCATTTCATTTCATTTCATTTCATTTCATTTCATTTCATTTCATTTCATTTCATTTCATTTCATTTCATTTCATTTAAGTTCATTTCATTTCATTTCATTTCATTTCATTTCATTTCATTTCATTTCATTTCATTTCATGTATTAAGCGGTGTAGGTATCTCAATAGTCAATATGTGTAAAGTATTATGGGTCTCAAATTGTGACACTTCAAGTTGGGAAACAACCGTTAGCTTCACTTTTTAATTCGTTTGAGTTGTAAGTGAGAACTAGTGTATATTGTTAGTGTCAATTACTAATTACAAATCACTAATTAATAATTTGTGTGCTACTGTATACGAATTGTCATACCAATTGTATAGATAATGCAGTCAAATGAGTCGTGTTACATTCCAAAGTACTGTCGTCTGTAAATGTTGTCGTAACTGATCCATCAGTCGTCCAAGAGAGCGCTGCAAAGTTCGATTTATTTTAGGATATTCGGTTTTTATGAAGGCTAAAGATAAGGTAGGGAAGTGTTTTTAGAAAGGCTTGATCTATAGTCTGTAAATAAAATATATTGCAATAGTGTACAAAAATAAGTAATTTCTTTCATATAGATACCTAATTTTCAGTCATTGTAAGTAACCTTACACCGAAGCAGCTCACTTACTTGTTTCATTATACCAATAGCACAGAGGGTTGTAATACAAACTAAACTTGTTCTTATTAGTTAGCCTAATTCCGATTGAGATCTCTTGATCCTTCTTTAGATAACTAGGTAACTCGTTTGGCGGCTCAACATCTACCAATTTCGAGATGTAACGTTTATCTGTTAAATAAGTACATTATCTTAATAAGAAATTCATCAAGAAAATTTAGATCGCACTGCCAATTATCATCACATACAATTTGACATGACCACAAATCCTTCATCAAACTCGTATCTATGTAATTGTATAGTTAAAAATAAAAGAGGAAATCGTGAACATTGAACCTTCTAGATTGCTATTGAAATCAGTTTCAGGATCATGGTATAGGGAGACTATAAAAGATTGAGACCCCGCGAGAGCAGTTATGTTATTGAGGCTCCTTGGCAGTGTGATTTTTATTTCAGTCTCTTTTACCCCTGAAAGTTATAAAGTGGTTAGGAATTTCCCTTATATTATGAGATTACGTCAGAGTTGAGGAGTTGAATGATCCAATTGTGAACTTAAACGTTTGTTGAAATAGAATTAGACATATCGAAGGGAAAGAATAAACATTTAAATACATTACCCTCTGCCATAGGAAAATCAAGTGTTTCTTCCTTTTCTAGAGGAAACTTAACTTCCCATAAGACCACAGTAACCTTCTCTCCGTGAGTGGTTGTCAAGTCATTCTCATCTGATTGAACATTTTTCATGAAGGCTAGTCTTAGGTCTTTCGCTCTGAGGACAATCTAGATTTCAACTGTTATATATAATGAGATTTTTATGTTTTTTATAGAAAATCGTTAAAAATTGACCATTCAAAATGATTTGAAATAACTTATTATAATTTCGAAATGTTCACGAAATACCAACTGCTAGAGCCTAGATTCAGAAAGATATAACAAATACATGCTCCCACCTTTTCCGCAACTCAATAGAAACATTCGTTGAGGAGCTCATCTGAGTCAATATGATCATAACACCGTTCAGACTCAGTCTATCGCCATGTTCAAAATAAGATTGGTTATCTTTAAATTCTTGTAGCATCTCTTGTAGCAGTAACTGTAAGTACACTAAACAACGTGTATGTTGTTTCAATGTCAAATTTACTAGTTCTCCTTCTAACACGTTCATGGAATCCAGGGTAAGGTCGCTTATCTTTTTTAGCTTGCAGTCCGATTGAACATTTTTCATGAAGGCTAGTCTTAGGTCTTTCGCTCTGAGGACAATCTAGATTTGTACTGTTATATATAATGAGTTTTTTTTTATAGAAAATCGTTAAAAATTGACCATTCAAAATGATTTGAAATAACTTATTATAATTTCGAGATGTTCACGAAATACCAACTGCTAGAGACTAGATTCAGAAAGTTATAACAAATACATGCTCCCACCTTTTCCGCAACTCAATAGAAACATTCGTCGAGGAGCTCATCTGAGTCAATATGATCATAACACCGTTCAGACTCAGTCTATCGCCATGTTCAAAATAAGATTGGTTATCTTTAAATTCTTGTAGCATCTCTTGTAGCAGTAACTGTAAGTACACTAAACAACGTGTATGTTGTTTCAATGTCAAATTTACTAGTTCTCCTTCTAACACGTTCATGGAATCCAGGGTAAGGTCGCTTATCTTTTTTAGCTTGCAGTCCGATTGAACATTTTTCATGAAGGCTAGTCTTAGGTCTTTCGCTCTGAGGACAATCTAGATTTGAACTGTTATATATAATGAGATTTTTTTTTTATAGAAAATCGTTAAAAATTGACCATTCAAAATGATTTGAAATAATTTGTCATAATTTCGAGATGTTCACGAAATACCAACTGCTAGAGACTAGATTCAGAAAGTTATAACAAATACATGCTCCCACTTTTTCCGCAACTCAATAGAAACATTCGTTGAGGAGCTCATCTGAGTCAATATGATCATAACACCGTGCAGTCTATCGTCATGTTCAAAATAAGATTGGTTATCCTTAAATTGTTGTAGCAGTAACTGTGAGTACACTAGACAACGTGTATGTTGTTTCAATGTCCAATTTACTACTACTAGTTCTCCTTCTAACACGTTGATGGAATCCAGGGTAAGGTTGCTTATCTTTTTTAGCTTGCAGTCCGACCTTGTGTCGTTTATCCAGTATGTAGTCTAGGAATGGTTTAAAATTAAGACAATGGCAAAGATGCTTACATTGTAAAACATACTCAGCTATCACGTTAATAACAAATGTATGTTATATTAATTTAACCATATTTATTAATGACAATGTGCAGAATCAATCAATCTCTATTAAATTGCCTTAAATAGATTGATTTATTTGATACCTTGGAAAGAGATTTAAGCTTGCAATGAGCTTTAATCCCGTCACATGACGTATCCTTTTCACCAAGAGCAACATTTTCGAAGTTGCAGTTCAGTAACTTGTACTTGCTACAATTTTCCCCTGGTATAAATAAGTGTGAAATAACTTGGTTTAAATTATAATGGTATGGGTCGAAAATTGGTTGAGATATCTGTGTCAATATACTACTTTTGCTCCCTTAAAAATGAGTTTTGGGCCAGTCATCTAAAAACCAAGTTTCACAAAACTCCTCAATACAACAGAAAATTTCAAAGAAAGTTCTAACCTTTGACGGCGAGGAAATCTAAGTGAGTGTCTCCAATACGAGCATTGGAGGGTACACTGTGTGAAGCAAACATATACTTCTCTTTTTCTCGCAATATCTCACCCTCCTATTATAGATATCAAAGGAGGTTTTATTCAATTATAGTTTTCAAGTTTACAGTGAAAAATTTGTTTATTTTATTTGCATACTTGATAACTGTACATTGTACAATTACACGTTAATTAAAAGGAATTTTTCAGATTTCAATAACATACTTTAAATAGTGGCTCAACACTTGATTTCAGCTGATTCAAATCCGGGTTTAAGTTGAGCATGAACGTCTTTTCTATGAAATTCTCGGCTGAAATTATGTGGTGCGTTAAATCTAATTCTAATTAGAGGCAGCGGAATTGATTATTCTAAAACATTCTTTTCTGCATTTCAATTAATATTCTACTATTTACTTGATGCCATCAATTAAAGTCCGACTAACTTAAAACCAAAACATTTGAATATTAATTCTACAAAGAGTATTCACATTGTGAAACCAGCGTAGTAAATAGAAAATTACGAATAAATGTAATTTAAGCTTACTAACCTGACGGTGGAAACGTAATGTTCAAACTTTCCGTCGCACCCGAAGAGCAGGTAACTCCTTTGATCCGACCCTTAACTTCGCTACTGCCTGACAGAAATATGTGGGCATATGTTTAATTCCGGGCACTCCCCCGTTCCTACCAGGTTAGGGGCAGCATTTAAAAAGCGCTTATAAGCGCTTTTCAATTCCTGCCCACCTGGCCATGGATGGTAGGAATTAGGAAAAGCGGTAAAAATCGGTAAAAAAGCGATGAATAAGCCGCAATGAGCAATTAAAAAAAAGCGATTATAATCGATTATGAGCGGTTATAAGATGTAAAATAGCGTTTTTCTGACTGAATTAAAAAACGCTTATAAGTAGGTAGTGCGCCATCGACAGTGAGCCGCGCGTGCCGACTGTGGGATGGTTTTTTAGCGCTAATTTCGGCCAGCACAATTTTCTTCAAACAAATAGATATTAAGTATTCTTCCGGACCTCTGATTGCAACAAAAATTGGTAAGCTTACTCATAGACTTACAAGAAATGTGTCCGAAAAGTTTAAAGCATATCCAACCATCAAACTGAAACATTATGTTACAGCTAAAAGCAGCGTATTTTGCCCCATTTTGATCACTATATCAACTCCGATATCCACCAAATTTTTCGGACAGTTGTAAAAGCCCTATTGGAAGATCGTCACCAATTTTCAGAATGATCTCATTCAAGGAACTGAAGATATATCCAAATAATACGACAAAAATCAACGAATTTGGTCAAATTTGGTCAAATTACGCGACTTTTACAGCTAATTTTGCTCCAAAAGCCGCGCACCATCAAATATGGCACCTAGGCAAAACTCACTGATCTTTCCAAAAAGGTATGACAAATTTGGTATTGTGAAAATTCTCACAGTCTCTAGAAAACAATGGTACAAAAATGTTTTAGATCCGAGCAAGTTTATTTTTATAGTGCACCTCCTATTATAAGCGCTTTTTAAGCGCTTTGCAAACAGCTAAATTGCAACCCAATTATAAGCGCTTATAATCGCTTATAAATGGTTATAAATAGTTATAAATATATATAATACGGCCACGGCCAGGGGTGATTTGGAAGCGTCCTTGTAGGTTTATAACCTACCAGGAGTCAGAACTGATCGCGCCGCGTTGGACTCGTCGACGGTCCTAATATTTGAAACAAATATTTTACGAGTATCACCCGTTAGCTTATAAGCGCTTTCTAATTCCGGGCACTCTCCCGTTCCAAGGTTAATTGAGGGGCATTGAGAAAGCGCTTTTTAATTCCGGCACTCCCTCATTTCAAATCCAACCAGGTTAAGGGGCATTGAGAAATCGCTTATAAGCGCTTTTTAATTTCGGGCACTCCCCCGTTCCGACCAGGTTAGGGGCAGCATAGAAAAAGCGCTTATAAGCGCTTTGCTAACAGCTAAATTGCAACCCACTTATAAGCGCTTATAATCGCTTATAAATGGTTCAAAAAAGCGCTTACGAATCGCTTATCTGGCCGACCGCTTATCCATCACTTTTTACCGCCAACCCTACTGGAAAATCGCTTTCAAATCGTTTGTGGGGACTAGGACTTATAAGCGCTTTTATATTCAAAAAAGCGCTTTTTTGAATTATTACATCAATTATAGTCGATTATAAGCAATTTTTAAAAAACCGTTTATAATCGTAAAAAAATCGATTATGAACGGTTGTTTTTTAAAAAAGTGCCGAAAAAGCGCCCAATAAGCGATTATCAGCGCCGATAATCAGTTAAACAAAAATTTCAGTTAAACAAAAATTTCAATTTTATGCCATTTATTACAGATTAAACAAGTTTACAATAAATCAATTTGATATTTAACGGAATCCTAATTCAATGTGCAGTATGGTTGTCACTCTTTAAATAGATTAGATATAGGTTGACGGGGCAAAGGAGTGTGCGTGCTGTTCGCTATTGCTCACACCAAACGGCAACCTAGTAAATGTTTTGTATGAACACCGGTCTCCATCACGACACAAAATTAGGATTGTAGAATTTATTGTATAACTATTAGTGCAGTGGAGGTAGCGGTGTGGTGCATTAATAGAGTGACAGCCTACTGATTTAGAGTTGTTTTTAAGTGAGCATAATGGGTGTATTTTTGGATCTAATGGCAACTTTAAAATTTGTTCTTTTAATCATTTATTAAATATCAGTTTAAAAATATATAAATCTGGAATCTGTTCACTCTGTGAACCAGTCCTAAAAAAATTCCAAAAACCCTCCTAAATTAAATATTAAAAACGTCTCAGTAATGGAAATAGTCATACAATTAAGAAATTATCCAAATTCTTAATATCTACCTAAGAGAAAAATACCTACCTAAGTCAATTTCTACCTGTAATACACTAAATATTAGGTTAAATACATAGGTGGTGGAGTCAGCACACATTTACCAAAATCAAAATTGTTTAATAGGTGGAGCCTGTGGGCCGAGATCACTGGATTAAATTTGATGAAGGGGGTTGTTTTCAAATGACAGCTGCATTATGTCATAATCGCTTGTGGTCCATGCCGAATCATTATAAGCATGTTGCAGCTTTAGAAGTGCCTTTTTCAGGCGACTTTTAGCAAGGCTAATCTTGTAGGAGTAGTCAAAGAGCTTAAGTTTAGGTGCAATTGTGTTCCAAATTTTGGTGGATCTTGATATAAAGTCATTAGATGGGAGTTGTGAAATGATAGTGGTTTCCTTTCTAGAAGATGACTGATAATGCTGTTGCAGTGATGCTGGGCACCTTAGTTTTAGTATTTTAAAAACTTCCATAAATGTGTGATATGTATATAAATTTTTGAAAGCCAGGATGTTTTGTTGCTTGAAAAGTGGTTTACAGTGCTCTAGTTGGAAGAATGTATGGTCAAGTGCCTGGCTGTCAAACTCTCTTGTTCTTGCACATGTAAGGAACTTGTTTAGGTATGCCTCTTTATCACCAAAGAGGACCCGTACACAGTGCTTCTGAGACAGCCAGATACTTGCTGTCCTAAAGAGTGCTGCATCACCCCAAACTGAGATACAATATGTGAGGTGGGATTCAAATAGTGTGTGGTAGAGGTCTTTATGGAGTTCCTTTGGTACAGAGTCCCTAATTCTATTTAAGGTGGCAGAGGCATAGTTTAACTTTCGTTTAAGTGCTGTTATATGAGGCCCCCAGGAAAGCTGTTCGTCAATAACAACTCCAAGAAACTTAGTTGCTTTGGTTTTTTTAATTGGAAAGCCATCAATATGGAGTTGAAGCGAATCTGGCAATTCTACTGGTTTACTAGCCTTTGGTTTAAAATGCATATAACAGCACTTTGACATGTTGATGTGAAGTTTGTTAAGGATCATATACTTTTTTATACAGCTTAGCAATTTGTTGCCTTTCTCATAAGCTTCTTCTACAGTTTTTCCATCAATAAAAATGTTGGTGTCGTCAGCAAATAGTATGAAGGTTCCTAAATCCGAGGAATTGGCAATATCATTTATGTATAGAAGAAAAAGGAGCGGTCCCAAAACAGAGCCTTGTGGAACTCCATATTTAATGATAAGGTTTTCGGATTTTTCATTAAGGACTTCTGTATACTGTGTTCTATTTGATAAGTAGCTTTTAATCAGACAGTTTGCATTGCCTCTTATTCCATACCTATCTAGTTTTGTTAGGAGTGTACTATGGTCGATTGTATCAAATGCTTTACTCAAATCTATAAATATAATAAAATTTCGTTTATGGAAACTTGCCAATTTATGTTTGTTTACTGTTTAAGACACATGACAATAATTTATTTACACACAGATGTCAAAATTAGCCCCCTTTATTATACAATATGCAAATAAAACTATTTAAAAAACGACGAACACGTTTGTCCCATTTTCTCAAAATAACATTGATGATTGATGATTGATGATTGATGATTGATGATTGATGATTGATGATTGATGATTGATGATTGATGATTGATGATTGATGATTGATGATTGATGATTGATGATTGATGATTGATGATTGATGATTGATGATTGATGATTGATGATTGATGATTGATGATTGATGATTGATGATTGATGATTGATGATTGATGATTGATGATTGATGATTGATGATTGATGATTGATGATTGATGATTGATGATTGATGATTGATGATTGATGATTGATGATTGATGATTGATGATTGATGATTGATGATTGATGATTGATGATTGATGATTGATGATTGATGATTGATGATTGATGATTGATGATTGATGATTGATGATTGATGATTGATGATTGATGATTGATGATTGATGATTGATGATTGATGAGTTTTTAATACTTTCAACACTACTATATAACAAATAATTTTAGGCATGTACGCTAACATGGCGGCAAAGTGCAGCTGAATCGGCGGGTATGATGGGGATCTGGGGAGCCAGATGGGTGTCTTGAGTTGTTCACTGCCAGTGTCTCCTTCTCTTCCACCCAGCATAAAGCTGGGTGGCTCTTAACTTCACTACCAGGTTGTACATTGATATCTGGATATTATCCGGTTGGATATTGACTAAATAAAAATTTAGTTATACCTATTTTTACCACTTTTTATCTCAATCAGTTTCAATTATTCAACCTCCATAATACTCTCTTCTTTTATGAGTCCAGGATAACAGTTGCTGCATCCTCAGCAAGTTTCTTGTTGAGAGGATGGTTTTTTGATGATCTTGCTAGCATAATGACCACTGGTCGCTGCTATCACTGTTCTCATTAATTCTTTCTTCAATTTTGTTATTTCACCATTCAACTCACTTTCTTTCCTCAGCTTATACACTTAATCGCTGACAACTGGTGGTGACTGCTCCTGATACCTTGACGGCAATCCAGTGAACCTGAATCCAGCTCCTTCATCTTGGTACAATACAATGTTTAACCTCAAAGATACTATTGAATCGCTTTCATCCGCTTCAACACAGGACCTAGCAGCCCTCATTAAAACTGCTCAGAAGATTATGGATTGTAGGCACCTGGATGGACACTTGCAATTTATTCCAGATATAATTGACAGTGCAGTTTGTTCCGACTTGTTGGCTGAGTGTGATTCCCTCAACTTGTC